TGTTGTTCCTTTCCAAGTCTGTAAGAAAAGACAAAACAAAAGCAAATGTTCTCTGCTTTCTAAATAAAGACATGTGACCGATTCTGCAGTCCTTCTAAATTATTCTGTGAAACGACTGCGAAGAAGCAGACATTTCTGAGCACCTTTAAAGGTGAGACATTGTGGTGTAAAGAAAAGAATCCTGGTTTAGAAATTAAGAGACCTAGAGGATTCAAGTGGTGCTTCAAGAATCTCCTTATCTCCAACTTTATTAAATAAAGTTCCTATCTTTCCAAAATTCAGTACCTTTATTTCTAAAACAAAGATAAACAATCTCTGCCTTACTTACTTGAAATGAGATCAGTGAATGTAAACACTTTTATAAACTGTAAAGGATTCTATTTTATACTGCATGAGCTAATGTTAGAATCATTTCCATATTACCTACGGGGAAAACCAGTTCTAGCCAGTTAAATGGGCTTGCCTCAGTTTTCTCATCTATAAAATGGGCTGATGAAAGCAACCCCACCTACTTCAGAGAGTTCTAAGGATAAAATAAGATAATAGATATGAAAGTGCATTTAAAATGAGAGAGTACTCTCATTAATAATAAGATTATTAGTTTAAGCAAAGGGTTTTTCTCGAGTCTCACAAACAATCCTCAAGAAAATAGTACATAACTAAATAGGCTTTTAAAAATAAGCATGCTTGATTCACTTCAGAAATCTTGGGAAATTGTGCACTGCTTCTTGGCCTTTGAACTAAAATCAAGTGTAATATCTGTTCTTATCAGGTTAATATCTGATATGTCCTTTATCTGAAAACAGTCTAGAAAATGGGTTTTTGGGGCTTGTTTAGTCCACTCCACAGAGGGACCTCGTAATGTAGTACCTCTAGGAGCTGTGCACTCCCTGAGGGCGAGGAGGGGGAGAAGAAATCTCAGGAGATTGCACGTTCAAAAAAAGAGAAAAAAGATAGGAAGGGACACCTGGGTGGCTCATTCGTTTAAGTATCTGATTTCTGCTCAGGTCACCATCTCTCGGTTTGTGAGTTCGAGCCCCACATCCAGCTCTTTGCTGACAGCTCAGAGCCCGGAGCCTGCCTCTGATTCTGTGTCTCCCTCTCTCTCTGTCCCTCTCCCCACTCACACTGTCTCTCTCTGTCTCTCAAAAATAAATAAACGTTAAAAATGTTTTTTAAAAATATAGGCATAAAGAAGCCTGAGGTGTGGTTGCATTTAGGGAAGGATTAATCATATTAAATGGTATATTCAGAGTTAGTAGTTGATAAACACTTTTGGAATATGTGTGTTTAAATTAGGTGTGTTGTAGAAATAAAGTGCTCGCTTAAAATCCTAACATTCAACGAAACATTTGTCAACTGCCTATTTTGTGTCAAGTATTTTCAAAACGTATTCTTCCCTTTTTAATGCTTTAGTCCTCAACACCAGAGAAAAGTTGAAGTTAAATTGAAATTGAAATTAAAAGTTGAGAAAACTAAGAGTCAAAGAAGTTACTCAGCTTGCCTCTGGTCAAACAGCAGATTCAAGATGTTCAGATCTCAAATTCTCTGTTCCTTCCTGCGTTTTCAAACTTATTTGCTCATTTTGAGACACACAGAGAAAATAGCGAAGGGGCAGAGAGAGAGAAAGAAAGAGAATCCAAAGCAGGCTCCGCTGTCAGCCCAGAGCACGTGCAGAGTTGATCCCACATACCCGGGAGGTCATGACCTGAGCGGAAAGTCCAGAGTTGGCACTTGTACCACCTGAGCCACCTAGGCACCCCCTTCCTGCCTCTCCCCAGGCCCATTACCCTGGCGGCCTTGACTCACTCTGTAGCAACGCTCATGATACCAAATCCAGCACTTACCACAAAGCCATCTAGAAATTTTTATTTAGCATAAACCCCGGGTGGAATGTACCAGTTTTAAAGAAACTGGATAAATGGGTATTTCATAACCAAAACTTCTCTGTCTTCTTAAGTGAATTTCAACGGCTTGCTTTGACCGTTGGACGATACACTCTCAGGGAAAGGCACTCAGTTACCTTCCCTCTAAATATTTCCAGAACCAATTCATGCCTTTTCGAAAACCAAAAAATGATTAATTAGGAAATGTTAGGGGTTAAAGAGAAAGAGAAATAAAATTATGAGGTAACAGGAGATCTTAGAAATGAAAGCCATTTAAATCTCTTGGGAGGTATCAGTTATTTAAGAATATGATGTGCTGTGCTTGTCACACATAATAAGTTAATCTTAAAAAAGACATTTATCCTGCTGATGTTATAGTTTTTATACAGACTAGTTTGGAGAACTGGATGCCATTTCAGGCGTGAATTTCGGTAAGCTATGTTTACCAGGAATTTTAATGACTTAATTGCTTTGAAATGACACCATTCTAAACTATGAAGTCTGTTCCATTGCATTTAACTTGCTAGTTAGATTGCTCAATTTTAGAGTTTAAAGCAAAGATGCCTTCCAATTTGTGTATCTGGTTAGGTGGTCTGATTTCCTATTATCTAAAGAACGATATTGACATTGTACTTGTGACTTGTTCAAGTCAATTTTAATGAGTATCTATACTATTTTGTTTCCTGGAAGAGTAATTCAAATATAATACTTGTTTGCATACAACTACATGCTTTAGTCAACACTATGATCTTTTTGTTATTAAAAAGAGATAGCCCACAGAGCCCTTTAAATGGAAGTATAACACGTATTTAAACAACCATTCATTTTTCCTCCTATCTGCTCTTGGAACAACAGATTTTTAGCCTTCTTAATAAGCGGCTGAGATCAATCTGGAGAACTTGAAGGTTAGGCTCTTAGTATTCAACCTAGTGCCAGCTAAAGTTAACAATCTCACCCAATTACTTTAGGAATGACAAGACTGAGGAGTTGTAATACCATTTAGCTACGGTAAAAGCCTGGCTTTTAAAAGGTTTATTCTTGTCCGACTTCAGCTCAGGTCATGATCTCACGGTTCGTGGGTTCGAGCCCCGCGTCGGGCTCTGTGCTGACAGCCAGCTCAGAGCCTGGAGCCTGCTTCAGATTCTGTGTCTCCCTCTCTCTCTGACCCTCCCCTGCTGGCGCTATCTTGTTCTCTCTCAGAAATAAATAAAAATATTGAAAAAAAATTTCAATGTTTATTCTTAAATGTGTTTATTCTTAAATTAATAAAAGTCATTTCGCAGATAAGGAAAAGCAGACAGGAAACGGAAAAGGAGGTAACTCTAAAATTCTAATCCTAGAACATAGTAGAATACAGGGAGCCATCTGAGTGGTACAGTACCCAAGGAGGAGGGAAGATAAGAGGGGTCAGCGGTTTCAACCAGACTTGCACTCACTTGTAGATTGAAATTCCAAAGACAGGGGTTGGTGACTTAGACCTTCAAGTGTGATTATCATTACAAAGAGAGTTGGGTGGTCAAGGGAAAGACACTGGAATCCCCAAATTCCTTTCAGAATGTCCATAATCACACTGTATTGTTTCTGCCATTTTAACATTTCAAGAGGTGTTTCTCCCTGAAAAGCTACGGAAGGAATCTGTCCTTAGTTACCCTGGCTTTTCCTTGCTGCTTTGAATTGAAAGCGCTGTGTGTGACGGGCAGTGGGATGCCCCCGCTCCAAAGCTGTCTTGGAGATTCCAGAAGGCAGCAACTTTTACCTTTCTTGGCCAGCCCTCTTTGCTCTCCAGTCTGGACTTCAGCTTCACTCAGCAGACACCAAACGCTGTGCTGGGGACGGCACGATGCTATGCGACGGAGGTTTTGCTAACTATAATGCCAAACCAGATACGTGCCCTAAGTGTTCTAAACAAAGGGTTGAAAGTGAAGTTAATTCTGTCCAAGGGGCAAGAAAGGGCTCAGAGAGAAGGTGACATTTCAGAGGACTCTAGCTAGAGCAACAGAGGCATTTTGCTAGCCCGCGAAAGGAGAGATGTGCAGCATAAGCAGAGGGGGGAGGAGGGCAAGAGAGTGGTGGCGAAGGACTGTTCTGGAAAGGACAAGTGGTTGATGGTGGCTGGGTCTAGGCATCAGGGAACCCCAGAACAAGTCAGCATAAATGTCTCAACAAGCTACAACCGTTTCTATTTCTGGATACACTAAAAAAGACACCTGGAAGAAATGTCTATTTATTGTCCACTGTGTGCCCAGTGTTCCGCCAGGCACTATAGAAGGTAGAGGGGAAGACCCTTGCCCTGGAAATGTTTGATAGAGTATTCTATCTGGAAGAAAGGTGAACTCATATAAAATAATGTAAAATAGTACTGCAGCCTCTAAAGCAAAGCATCAGGCGGCCCCAGAACTCAGGTTAAAGATGATACCTCCAGAGAAGCACCCCTGCTGTCCCCGACTCTGCCCCACTCCCGGAGGGTGGTACAGTCAGGCTGGAGGCCAGCGCAACTGCAGAGTGGCTTGCTGGCTTGGGACGCCTTCATCCCCAGAAACTGGAATAAAGGTCATGGCTAACCCTTACATAGCATTCCTTTGTGCGGGGCCCTGTTCTAGGTGCTTACGTGGATTAACTAATTCAGTCTTCACAGTTACTGTACTTGGGAGAAACAGTTAATATATCCATTTACATACCGGGAAACTAAGGCACAGAGCCACAGCCAGGATTCAAATCTACAGGATCTGGCTCCAAAGTCGTGTCTCAAGTTGCTATCTTCAGAATCTAGCTCAGTATCCAGTGCTGGGCGTTTTTCCCTGAGTATTTTCACGATTAGTACGATTCAAACCGAAATAAATACCCGAGAGCCCCAAATCTGTAAGGGAGGAGAAATGCACGCTCGCTCTACAGCCTCAACTCTTGGCCGACCGAAGGCCAGCAAGAGAATGTTTCTTTTTATTTATACAGTTTTTGTGACAACTTGGTGTTTCTGAACGCTAGGGGCTCCCGCATTCTCTGGTTTGAGATTTAACTTTTCCTTTTAGGACTTTTTTTTTTTTTTTTTGAAGGGGGTGGGGGAAAATGTGGCCTTAATTATCCTACGTCTTAGGCAGTTTAAGGAAGGGGCTGTGCTTTCGGGATCTCTTCGGAGCCAAGTAAGGCCTCCCCCCCCTTTTTTATAAAGGACCTCGTGCAATAAAAGTGCAGAAACAAACACAGGCGACCACAACAGCAGCCGCGGCGGCAGCAGGCGGAGGAAGAGGAGGAGAAGCTGCGAGCCGGGGCAGGCGCCCCGGACGGGCTGCGAGCAGCTCCCATTCATTAAGGAAGCCGCGGCGGAGGAAGGTGGCCCGGCGCCCGCGCCGCGCGCTCACCCCGCTCGCGCAGCCGGACCCGCGCCAGCCCCGCGCGCCCCGAGCGGCTCAGCTCTCCGCAGAAGTTTCCGCTCGGCCTCCGGCGCTCGCCGTCTCCGCCTCCCCGGACTCTCGGACGGCTGCGGGCTGAGAGAGGAGCGCGGCGGCGCGGCGGCGAGCAGAGCACAGCTCGGGCTGCAGTGCGAAGCGCGCGGCGGGCTGCACCGTCGCCGCCGCGTCCCCGAGCAGCCGCGGCCGGGAGGCGGGCCGGGCGCGCGGGTGTGTGGCCGCCGCCGCCGCCGCCGCCGCCGCCGGGCGTCCTCGCGGGGCCGGAGGCTCGCGCCGCAGCCAGCGCCATGCAAAACTACAAGTACGACAAGGCGATCGCCCCGGACAGCAAGAACGGCGGCAGCCCGGCGCTCAACAACAACCCGAGGAAGGGCGGCAGCAAGCGGGCGCTGCTCATCTGCCTCGACCTCTTCTGCCTCTTCATGGGTGAGCCACCCCCCCCCCCCCCTCCGCACTCCGGCCCCGTCCCGGAGCCCTCGCGCCGCCCGGAGCCCCGGGCCGCCGGCTGCCCGGCCTGGACGCGGGCGTGGGGGCGCGCTCCGGCTCCCCGGGCCACCGGAGCCCGCGCGGCCCCTCGGAAGCCGACTCCGGCTGCGGCGCGGGCAGGGTCCCGCGGAGGCTGCGGGGTCGGCCTCCTAATGCAGGGCGGTGGGCGGAAGGGTGACCCGGAGCCCGCGCCGAGCCTGTCGCCCCCCGTCCGAGTAAAATGGATCTCCTGGGGCGCCGGACCCCTGCCTGCAGCGGCGCTGCCTCCTCGCTGGATGTGTGTAAACACCCAACCCTTTCTCTCGCGCCGCCTCGGCCCGGCCGGTCTCGGGCTGGCCTTTCCCTCCACGCCGCCCGGGGGGCTGGGCGCTGCGCCCCAGGGCCTTGATGCGGGCACCCATTCCGCTGCCACTTGTTCGGCGCCTACTGTGTGCCGGTGGTGGGCGGTGTCACGGGCCCAGTTTCAACCCCAGCCGTGGCTCTGATTCGGTGCGGGATGGGTGAGGAACCTCGTTTCGCCAATTAGGAAACCGAGGCACTGGGCGGGCAAGCCAAGATCGTGATCGTGTTTTGGCACCACGATTAACTGCAGTCCCAGAAAGTTGAGGCGATGGTCCTTTTCGTTTTCCAGACTAGTTGGATGCCCCGCCGGAAGAGCGGTGGGCGTTTAAAGAATTGAGCGGGGAGTGAGGAGGATTTACGAACTTGGTAGGGGCTGGGAGAAAGCTATTGACATGAATGTACGCGAGTTCCAAGGTTGAAGTCAGAGTAGAATTTTTTTTTTTTCTTAAAGCGATTCATGGTGTAATGGAAAGCGCACAGGACTTGTCATCAGAACACTGCTACTCTGCCACTTGCTGGACTTGCCACCCCACTGTCTCATTGGCCTCAGTTTCCTCGTCCGTTGAGCGAGTGGGTTGAATTAGATGCTCTCCTAAGGCCCCTTCCTGCATTAGGAACTCGGATTTGGTCCAGGAGCTGTTCTGCCAACTCTGCTAACTGAAGAAACATCTGTGTTCCCAATTCAGTTCCCTTAAAATAGAACTCCTGCAAGGAGACTTAAGTCCCCTTTGAAATGGATTTGTCCGTGCAGATTGTGCAAGCCAGGGACTTAGTGAGCTGGAGGTACGCTTCTCTTGTGTTTCATGACTCTCTCTGCAGCAAGGTCCTTACTGACATCCGTCTGTCTTTGGCTTGACTGTCCATAGTAAGTTCGGCAGTCAAATAAAGTTGAGACCCTTAGGATTAATAAAACATAAGTATGGTCCCCATTGGGTACAGAGAGACAGCTGTCCGTAGAATTGTGCTCTGTGCAAGGGAAGAGAGGCACAAATCCCCTTGCAACCCTCTTGCTAGAAACTGAAGGTTAAGATGCTATGTAAAGGCATTGTCACTGGGGGGCCTCCCTTCCTGAGGGCCGCTGGCTTATTATCCTGCACAGTGGGAAGATAAGCATTTAAAGTCTGCTGCCAAGCTATTGAGTTTTTAAAAGGCCCTCTCCCTGGTCCTGGGGGAGTACAAGGAAAACACTAAACACATTGAAGCTGTTTGCTGTAAACTTGTCTGGGGCTTCCCAGTGTTTACTGGTGTGTTTTGTTGGCGGTAAGGTAAACTCTTCCCAGACGGCCTGTGCTGAGTACCCTCCTACCTCCCACTTTGTGATTAGGAAACAAAGCTAGAACATGCCTGACAGCCTTTGTGCAGTTTCGTTGTTCTCCTCCCCCCCCTCCACTCTTCTGATTTCAGAAGGCAGGCCCAAGAGATGGTGCGTTCCTACTAAAGGGAAAAGAAGTTTGAAGGAATTAGCAAGAAGACACACCTATCGGCTGCAGTTTAGCCAGGGACACTTGTGCACGGAGGGTGAAAGTAAAGTGTATGATGGCACATTTTAGGTCATCTGCCCCAGCTCTCCCTGTGTCCCCCGCCCCCCCGGAAGCTAAAATTCTCTACCCAGCTATTGTGTTTTACTCACTGCTGGCCCGTTTGGATCGATGGTTTTGTTTACCTCAAAAAGGTGATAGCTGGACCCTGCGTTTAATGATGAGGCACAGAGCTATCTATTTTAAGGGTAGATGCCATGCCCTTAAAACTATGTCAACAGAGTCATTTTCAAAGTGACTTATTATCAGCATCTCCCTTATGCATAGAGCAAAATACAGCATTACTAATTTAATGCCTAACACCTTAATAGGAAAAGCCGTAAGGTAAGCACTTGAGAAATCTATGCAGGAGAACTCTTTGACTTCCAAAAGAAAATTAATAATGCTACATGTGATACTAATATCCCCTACACAACAGTCCTAAAACATTGTTTCTACTTGGTTCACTTTTTGCCTCAGACTGTCAGTATGATTTAATTTTTATATATTTCTTGATCATATGGTCCGGATTACAGGGCACTAATATATTAAAAAGAGAAGCATAGCTTTCTGTTTATTCTCTCACAGGAATACATAGCAAGCTTCATCTCCTTGTATCTGGAAAAAATAAAAGCTGATGTGCTACATAAGTGTTATGTGAGTGGAAATATGCTAGTGGTTGAACTTGTTTCTCATACCTTCTTGGAATGCTAACTTCTTAGTGAAAAAACAAAAGTCCACTCTTGCTTGAAGGCCAAAAGAATCTGGTTTCAGAGAACACCAAAGAGCGTTTACCTCCCATTGAACAGCCGTCTTTGCCAACAAATTGCTTTTGTAAATACAGTTAAGAATCTTTGTGTGGTAGTCTTTCCGAAATTGATTTTGTTTTCCTTTCAGTTACGTAATATGTGCCGCCTCTTGTTTTTTGTGCATGGGTTCTAGTGTAGCAAGTGACATGAGAGCCACAGAGGACCTTCCCACGCAAGAAGGGAGGAGCAGCCACTGCCTTTCTAAGCTCTCTTCGCCTCTTCTTAACCTAAAGGTATATACCTTTGTGGAGAGATTGTCTCCCTTTCCTAGGTGAGAAGCCACATGTCCGAGACGGGGAGGACTGAGATTCAGACTGAAGTCAATATGCGTTGAGGACTAATTCTCAGTGAGCAGGACTGGACTCCGTCTCCTTTTCAAACTCAGCATAAAAAACAAAATGTTTATTTATTTATTTTGAGAGAGAGCATGTGCGAGCAGGGGAGGGACAGAGAGGAGAAAGAGAATCCCAAGCAGGCTCCACATGCAGTCAGTGCAGAGCCCCCTGTGGGGCTCCATCTCAACGGACCTTGAGATCCATCATGACCTGAGCTGAAATGAAGAGTCAGAGGCTTAACTGACTGAGCCACCCTGGCGCCTCCAAACTCCGATTGTTATCAGAAAATCGCGAAGCTGTTTGCACAAAGTCCTCCCTTTCCACATTTCCCAATTCCCATTTGCGCCAAAGCAAATGGATAAAGGTGGTTGAACTCTTCTGGTTAGTGATACGGTTTTGTGGCCCCATAGCATTGTTTTGATTTGGGTCTAGTTGCAAGACTAAGTCACAGATTTTTGGGGGCACCTTTTTACGCTGCACGACAACAGTTCTGAAGAAGGAACACCAGCAGTCTGTGGCTATAGCAAAATGCAGAGATTTGGTAAGTCCATGCTGAGCTTCTAGGCTTCTGCTTTCCCCCCTTCCTGTCCCTCCTCCCAGATATTTACTGAGTGCCTCTTTCCAACCCATGCACTTTGAGGTCTAGGCAGTTTGAGCCAGGTCCAGGTTTTTATGCATGGACTTTGTTCAAGGTCCTTCATCCTTGGAGTTCAGTTAGCTCATCTGCAAAACAGTGGTCAGAATGGCCACTTTGTTATGTTGCTGTTTGAATCAGAAGAAATATTGGGTGTGAAAGTTTTTGTTATCCCTTAAGACTTGGGCAAATGCAAGGGATTTATACCTGGAGCCCTGGATGAAGGTTTTGTGGTTGTCTTCATACATTGTGTCTCAGAATCATGGATAGATGAGACCATGAAATACTCAGTAAGAATAGTACGGAGAAGACCAGAAAGCTTCACTTTAAGTAGGAGAATGTCATGTTTGCCCAGTAAGTTGAAGACAGATGATTTCCGTTCATCGGGACTCTAGCCAGGAGAGCCAACCCTGAAATTGAGCAGTATTCTTGAGCCAACTGCCCAACAACAGAATACCTGAGCTCTCTTTACAGAAAGTTGTTTTGTTCAAAAACAAACAAACAAACAAACTCCACTGTTCCTCATTTGGTGGCTTTTGATATCAGAAGGTAGACAAGTTGAATTTAGGTTAGGGTAGGGGTGGGAGGTGTTTGAAGAAGCAGGTGTTTGGACAGATTTAGTCTTGTAAGGCTGGACTCCTGTGCCGTTCCCACCAGGAAATGGAGGCAATGGGTGGAGTATCATGAAGCAAAGAGAAAGAAGTACAAACAGGTAAAAATATAGATTCTGGACACTCAGCAACTACGCCGTGTGATTTGATGATTCCAGAATGTTCTTGGATGTTTCTTGATTTTCACTTAAACAATGGAGATAGAATCCTAGAACTGGTTCCATATGTGGGCTCCATAACGCCATCTTGTGTTATAAAACTACTCACTTTTAATCGTGGAAGAGAGGCAGTGTGGTATAGTAAAGGAAACAGGAGACTCGGAGCCAGGAAGCTTCAGGTCCCAGAGTGGCCAATGCTACCATCCAGTTGTGTGGTTGTGGACGCGTTGGTTTTCTGTGGACCTCAGGGTTTTTTTTTTTTCCGGTGGTAAAATGAGTGGTTGGGCAGGATTACCTCTAACATGTAAAGCTACCATGCAACATTCTGTGACGAATTTCTAGTCGAGAGGAACGACACATTTGTTGAATATCTACCCTCATGGGGGCACTCTGCTTAACTCCTCACTGTCCATTATCTCAGTGAGTCACAACAGTGATGATGAACCTAGAAATAGGAGTTCTGGCCTCAGACTGTCACTACATACGTCACGGTGTAACTTTGGAGAAAGTCACTTGACTTTCCTGGGCCTGGGT